AAAAAAAAAAAAAAAGAATAAACAGAAAAAAATGAAATTATCTCCTCCGGAGAACATCCTGCAATTATCCCAGGTGGGCGAGTTTCTCTACGGGAGCAGCGGGGGGGTGGAACTGCTGGCTTTAAAGCAGCCGGCGTCAATCCCTGCCCTACCTCAGCTTCCAAAGCAGGACTAAAGGCAAAGCTTCTGCTCATTTTCTGCACAAAAAGGAATTTATTTTTTCTTTTTTTTTTTTTTTACCCTCCCAAAACCCTCCCAAATGCAATTTGAATCCCCGGGGAAGCGGTCGCGCTGACAACCGGCAGGGAAGAGCCGTGCTGCCGCAGCCGGTGGAACACGGAGGCTCCCGGGCGCCTGCACGGCCACGTAAAAACCAACCAACACCGAGTATCTCTTAGCAAAAAAAGGTTCGCAGAGCCGGAGCACGGGGATGAGGATTATGAGGAGCAATTATTTAGGAAATTCCAAGGGGGAGGGAACCTCTTGCTTTGCCTGCGTCTGGCTCGAGACACACACACAACCCTCCCGCACGCCCGAGGAGCTGAGCCCAGCTCCCTGCTCGGCTCCCCTCCTTCCCTACTTACTGATTTTTTTTTTTAATTTTATTTTATTTTTAATTTTTTATTCTCCATGTGAAATAACTTCCCTGCATTTCAGTTCCCCCCCAAAACAACTCGCAGCAGATGCGAATATCACCGAGCGGCATCTCCGGGGAGGACGGCCGCAGCACGGAGCCGGTCGGGCCATTTTTACGGCTCTCAAAAATCCTCCCATGAATCGAAAATGACAATTATTACTCAGCATCATTTTTACTCATTTCCCGCCTTCTCAGGAAGCCGGGCTGAGGTTATTCATTCCCACTGCGCCCCGGCCCCAGCCACGCTTCACTGCCTGCGTGGATTCAGTGGGGCAGGATCGCAGCTCCTGGGGGGGTTTGGGAGCACCCACGGCTCCGGGAGATGCTCCGGGGGGGGGGATATTCCAACCGGGAGAGCAGGCGGTGGGGTGCAGCGGGCACCATAGCACCCCGCTGGCCCCGGCTTTCATTTTATACAGTGAGATCTGAGCAGAAAAGGTTGGGTTTTGTTGAGTTTTTTGTTTGTTTGTTTGTTATTTTGGGGGATTTATTTGTTTTTTAATTTTTTTTTTTAGAGCAAAGCAGAGGGGGAAACCGGTCCTTCTCCCCTCCCTTTGTCTCGCACATGGAGATGGTAATTTTGGAGAGCTGCTTTTCCCGACTCACAGTGCCGGGGAACCATCCCAGACATGTTAATACGAAAAATGCCCAATTCTGAACCATTTCAAGCTCCCGTTTTTCAAACGAGAGCCTGGCTGCTGCTGGTTTTGCGGGGCTCCTGCAGCGCAGGCACACGGAGGGAACGCGCACGGAGGCAGCCGGTGCCTGTTTACAGATCCACGCGTCCACACTTCGGATTTACACAAACATTTATCCACACGCAGAGCTCCGCTCCAACAAACTGTCTTGCAACGAATCCAAATTTCTGCCAGAATAAACGAAACCAGCACCAGGCTTTCGGAGATGAAGCCAAACAAGGGAAAGCAAGTGCGACACCCAGAATAAAAATTCAATAGAAACGATTTTTCACGCTAACTAGGTCTAAAGGAGCCCCTTGCCGGGAAAGCGCGGCCGTACACGGGGAACTAAGCGCACGCTTCACGCTGCGAGAAAACCCCACCGTGCCGCCTCCCCGCCAGCCCCAGGGAGCCCCGATGGGGTTATTTCTCTGCAAATATTACAAAGCCTCATCCCACAAGAATATATTAAGAAAAATAAAACTCAGCTCCGAAGCCCGTTAAGAGGCAGCGGAGGTGTTTCCACTGCTGTAATGAGTATTTGCCAGGACTCTGCCGGGGGAAAGGTGACTACTCACACAAGTGCTTTCTGAGACTGTAAACTACTGTTAATTCAGAGCTTGGGACTGCAGAGGAGGAAAGTTAATAATGAATTCAAGAGTCAAGCTGAGATTGGGTTGCATTTAGTTTGGAAATTTGTGTAAGGAGGATGAAAAAAAAAAAACGGCAGAAAGAAAAGAGCCTAAGAGAATAATTGATTACAGAAATGAAAGCTTAATTCATAAAAGAAAAACATTTTCCATCCATCAACCTGCAACCAGTTAAGTAGAGAGTTTTAAAGAAACTGCAACATGGAGAAGGAGCCAACAGGAAAAAGGAAATGTATGAAAGAATGTAAACTATTCAAGTTTCATAAAAAGGAACAAGTAAACAGTTATTACATGCAAATAATTCCTAACATCACTGCTTTTAATTAATGCAGAGAAGTCAAAATATATCTGACATTGTGTGTATACATTCGAAGCCTTTGAGAACATGCTGCCACACGGCCGTTAAAATCCAGTATTCTTATTTTTGTTTAAATGACCAATTAAGTAAGATTCGATCTGCGGCGTTTATTGGTGCTGAAATGCCGAAATTCTATTTATGCTCTTTGCAATGCAGGTAGAGCGCGGCCGCCAGGCGGGAGGGAAGGGGCTCTGCTCCCGACACCCACCGCCCCTCGGGATTTCCAGGGGATTTATTTCCCTCTCCTCGCAAGGCACAGCCCCATTTCCTTGACGGTTTTGTTTTGAGAAAACCGGCAGCGTGAACCCGATTAAGGCTAAACGATAGAGCCAACCTCTCCAGCCAGAAAAGAAAATTTCTCTCCCGCTTTTCCATGCGGGAATAAACGGGGAGAAAACGAGCGAAACTTCCCCCCCCCTCCAAAAAAATAACTTTGGGAAAACAGATTTCTACAGGTTTCTGAAGAATATGGTTTAGGTAGAAGAGAGCTTCAGTGAAGTAGACTTGACAAAAAAGAAAAAGCCATTGATGCATTAATTGATGGTCATTGATTGATTGATTGACTGATGCACTGAAGCCTTTACAAGCCAGATGCTCGTGAGAGGGACTGGTGTTGGCAGACCTGAATGTCGCATTGCTTGTTTGATGAGACTGAAAGAGGAGGTCTGAGCATCCAGCTGACACTATTTAACAGAAAGAAAAGTGAGACCTGTGTTATAACACAGACTGGGACTCCATGGCTAAATAGCAGCTGAAAATGTGTAACGAAAGTCTAAATGGAAGGGAGTCCCTGTGTAATAGTGTCAGCTGAATCCTGCTATTAGTAATAGGCAGGAGGTTGTAGTAGCTGCGGTTTCAGCTTTCTTTCCATTTGTAGTGCAGTGGTTGGCCCCCACAGCCTCAGCTTGAGTCTTTCAGTCTGGGACATTTTGTGGATAACAGCTTATGATTCTCCTACTCCTTTTTTTTTTCTCCCCTCTTTTTTCTTCCTCTCTCTAAAAAGCCAAATAAAAAAGCCAACCATTCCCTGGCCGGTACCTACCCCTGCCGCTTCTCCCAACAAATCTGAGGTCGTTAAATCTCGCTACTTGGTTTTTCATGACGGCGGAGGCGTTGCGGAGCTCTGCCGAGTAGTTTTCGTCGTTCCCCGCCATCACCGTCACCACCGTCCCATCGGGCACATCTCCGAGGGCTACGACCTGCGGCAGGACGAGAGGATTTTAGGCTAAAATTAAGCGCCGTCGGGAGCTAAACCTGCTCTACGGTTCTCCCGCCCCCCCTACAAAACCAAAGCAAAACTAAAAGCAATTCAAAGGCGGCTGGCAAACCGGAGGGGGAAGGGGGAAATGAGTTAAAAAAAGAAGGGGTTAAAAGGAGCGAGGGGGTTCCACGGGGCGGGGAGGGGGGTGTCAGCCCGCCCTCGGCCCCGCCGGGGGGAATTGGGCTGTTATTTTGTTCGATTCGGGGGAAAAAAATAATAAGCGTTGGCGAACGCGGGAGTCCCGGAGCTCCGCGCCCGACCCGGGGAGCGCGGAACCTGCGCCCGGTTGGCGGGGAAGGGTCCCCCCTGCCCGGGGAGCAGCGCCCCGAGCTCCCGATACCGGGACGGCCGGGGGAACGCGGTTTACAATCCCGCCCAGCCGGGCTCCCCGGGA